ATAATGTAAATGAATTGGTATTAGATTCAGGTTGCTCATTCCACATGAGTCCTAATAAAAACTGGTTCCAAGACTTTGAGGCTAATGAACTAGAAACTATGTTTATGGGAAACAATAATTCTTGCAAAGTCCAAGGAATTGGTAGTATAACCTTAAGGCTTGAAAATGGAAAAAACATTAAATTGACTAAAGTTAGATACATTCCAAAATTAAAGAGGAATTTGATCTCTTTAGGAACACTAGATGAGTATGGGTGTTGTTATAAAGCTAAGGATGGGTGTGTAAATGTCTATATGAATAACAACATAGTCCTCAGGGGAGTGAAAAGAAATGGACTGTATGTTTTATGTGGGAACCATGATTCTAAATGTTATAATATTGCTTTCTTTTCTACTAACCTGACTATCCTAGGATGGGCCACATGAGTTAAAAGGGCATGGACATCGTAAGCAAACAGGGGCTGTTTGGTAAGGACTCCATTGAAACTCTTAACTTCTATGAAACATGTGTAGTGGGTAAGCAACATAAATTGATTTTTCAAAAGGGATCTCACCTTGTTGAAAATTGTTTAGATTACTTGCATGTTAATTTGTGTGGGCCTGAAAGGGTAACATCACATGGGGGCAGTAGTTATTTCCTTTCTATAGTTGATGACTATAGTAGGAAATTGTGGGTTTACTTGCTTAGGACTAAGGATGAGGCTTTGGGCAAGTTTAAGAGCTAGAAACTATTATTGGAGAACCAAATTGACCAAAAGGTAAAAGCCCTCAAGACTGATAATGGGTTAGAATTCTACAATTTAGAGTTTGATAACTACTGTAGTGACTAGGGTATTCTAAGACACAAAACAGTTAGGAAAACTCCTCAACAAAATGGAGTTTCTGAGATGATGAATAGAACCTTATTAGAAAAGGTTAGATGTTTGTTGTTTACATCTAACCTACTTAAAATCTTTTTGGGGGAAGCCTTAAACACTGCTGCATACTTAGTCAATAGGAGCCCCTCAAGTGCCATAGAATTTATGTGCCATAAAGAAAAGTGATCAAATAGAAAACCCAACTTAGGTCACTTAAGGGCTTTTGGATGTGCAACATATGCTCACACCACTGATGGAAAATTAGACCCAAGATCATTGAGGTGTGTGTTTCTAGGTTATCAATAGGGAACCAAGGGTATAGGTTATGGGAGAGGAGTGCACCTAGAGTGAGGATTATGATTAGTAGGGATGTAATATTCAATGAGAATCTTTTTCCCTGCAAATCTGTTGATAATGGTGTAGGTACCTCAAGCAGTAACCCTATAAGTCAAGAACCACCTGAGAATATTCAAATTGAGTGGAGCCTCTAATAACCCAACCTAAAAAGGAAGATCCAGGAACTAAATCGTCGCACCAGATTTGAATCCTAACTATGAAGAGGAACATGTTGAAAAATCCTGAGGTTTCTTAACATGATTCACTAGCCCAATACCAATTGGCCCGAGACAGAACTAGAAAAGAGATCAGGCCACTAGCGAGGTTCTCTTATGCTGAGCTCATATATACAACGTTGGTGGCTGGGGCTGAATTGCAAAAGGAAGAACCTGCCACCTATGAAGAGGCAATCAGATCCAAGGATAGAAGCAAATGGCATACTACAATGGAGGAGGAAATGCACTCCCTAAAGATAAATGGAACATGGTCATTGGTTCATCCTCTTAGGTATAAGGCAAGATTGGTAGCCAAAGGCTACACACAAAGGGAAGAAATAGATTTTAATGATATCTTTTTTCTCGTTGTGAAATATAAGACCATAAGACTTATGTGTTAGTTGTTGTATGCCATGATTTAGAACTAGAACAACTTGATGTTTAAACTGCGTTTTTACATGGAAATTTAGAAGAAAAAATCTACATGAGGTAACCTGTTGGTTTTGTAGATAAAAGACTTCCAAATCATGTATGTTTGCTACACAAGTCCTTATATGGTTTAAAACAGTCTCCTAGGCAATGGTACAAAAGATTCGATGCTTTTATCATGAGTATTGGTTTTAATAGGAGTCAATATGATAATTGTTTCGATTATGCCTTGAATGATAACATGCCTTTGTATCTTCTTTTTTATGTGGATGATATGCTTCTAATTAGCAAGTCTAAGTTTAAAATAGATGAATTAAAGAAAAAACTCAATTCTGCGTTTGATATGAAGGACTTAGGGTATGCTAAAAGGATTTTAGGGATAGTTATAACCAAAAACAAAAAGTGTAATGAGCTAAAAATACATCAAAGTTCTTATTTGCAAAAACTGGTTTCTAAATTTGGTATGGCTTAGTCTAAGAGTACAAATTTGCATTTAGCTAGTCATTTTATGCTGAGTAAGTTTCAATGTCCTAAATCTGATTATGATTTATTAAAAATGGAAAATGTTCCCCATGCTAATGTAATAGGATCAGTCATGTATGCTATGATAAACAAAAGACCTGACCTTGCTTTTTCCATCTCATTACTTAGTAGGTTCATGTCTAACCCAGGGTTAGGACATTGGTCTGCCCTAAAATGGTTGCTGAAATATATAAATTGCACAACTCATGTTGGTTTAGAATATTCCAAAAGATGTTAGTCACTTGATCTTGTGGGTTTCGTAGACTCTGATTTTGCAGGTGACAAGGATTCAAGGAAGTCAACTACTTCCTATTTCTTCACTTTGGCCGGAGATTGTGTGAGTTGGAAGTCCTAACTCCAACCTATTGTGGCATTGTCTTCGATAGAAGCTGAATATGTGGCATTGGAAAAAGTATTCAAGGAAGCATTGTGGCTGCAAGGACTTCTAACAGAGGTGAAATTGATAGATGAGGCAGTGATGGTATTTTGTGACGGTCAGAGTGCAATATATCTAAGTAAAAATCCAGTCTACCATGAGAGGACCAAGCACATGGACGTGAGGTTTCATTTTGTCAAGGATTTAATGGCGCAAGGAGTGATAAATCTGAAGAAAATAGCAACATAGGATAATCCAACAGATATGGGGACAAAGGTGGTGACACCTACCAAGTTCAAGCATTGCTTGAACATGCTGTTTGTAAATTAGAGCAGCAACTGAGCTATGAAGAGAACTTGGATGGGTTAGCTGCATTGATAAGGTTTTGAAGTTGGTGAGTTTTGAGCTTCAAGGTGGAGATTGTTAAATAAAGCTCAAAACAATGGCGTTTGAGGAATTAGAAGTTTTAATCTTGGCCTTTGCTTGTTAAAAAAATCTAACGGCTGGCAGTTGTCCAAGAAAGTCAAAGCTATTAAAGACATCAAAAATTCCAGGTTTGCATCTTTTCTCCAGCTCTCTCTTTACAATAAAAAATAGTACTCTTCAAGGGTTTCTAATTGAGTCTAATTTTCTTGTAATTAGTTTTAGATTTCTGTAATCTTGAGTTGAAGGTCAAGCTTCCTTCAAGGGTAGAGAATCTAGGTTGTGATTTCTCTTGTGATTAAAGGTTACAGTTAGAATTTGGGGCTTGATTGAGTGTGTAAAGATTTGGAGTTGATTTGTTCTTATAATCTGTAAACTTCTAATCTCTTAGTGCAGTGAGCCCCAAAAGTTCTTGGAGCTCAACGAGGATGTAGGTTTTTCCCAACTTTGGAATAAGTGAATCATGGTAAAATCCTTGGTGTTCTTAATTGTGTGTTCTTGCTTCTTTAGTGTCTGATTTAGATTCTTTGGAATGTGCTTGATGTTTGTTTTGGTAGATTGAGTTCTGATTTTTAGCATAACAGAAAATTTATGGTACACTGCCACAAAGCAGCCATACTCTTCAAGTGCATGAAAAACTTGATTGCATGCTGAAAGCCAAGAACCACTTCCAGGCTTCAAGTCTTCCTTTGACAAATCTACAACAGGAATTTTGGGAAGCATTTTGAAACTGGTAACTTTTTTCTTTTCTGTAAGTTCTAATATTTTTTCTCCAATACTAATCTTAATACTTTGCAAGCGGGATTGGAAATGCGGAGAAAAGCCAAATTTGTTGTCAATTTCACTCTACAACTTAAACAAGGTTGCTATGGAAAGAGCCGGGTGGCTGGCCAATGTACGTATATTCCAAGAAAAAAGTATAAATTCATATTGTCAACTCCGTCCGTAAAACTTTGATCTTCAAAACTTAACTTACTTTGTTAACTGTTAACCAAACGGAGGGGAATAAGATCTAGAAAAGGGTTATAATTATAAAGTTGCCTCAAATTTATGTTATATATTATCTCTGGCCCTCATTTAATTAGTTCATATCATTGACCTAATCACTACTTCATTTACATCTAAACTATATAAAAGATTATACATTACTTGGTATAGGAATTTCGGGATAACTTCTGGATTGTTTAGCATTATTGAAAAGGCTATATTATATCCTTTGCTACTTTGCTTAACAGTATGAAGAAACAAAGTAAAACTTGAGAGGCTTATTGTGAAAGAGATTAAAGTTTGTGTTCTTCAATATATCTATACGACTGAATTTGGGTTGGGATTCAGCAAACTTATAGTACTTGGCTACTGTAAGGAGTGTGAGAGTATATAGTAACACTTAATTTTCCTTATGTAGCGAAATCAACATCATCACTTATTCATGTAGGCGATTTGATTACATTGTGTTGTTTGTTTACTTATTGTGTTATTTAATTTTTTTATATTGTTGATTATTTTGGGTTTGTGGACATTATTGCTTAATGTTTGGGATTTTAGGTTAGCTTTCCAACACCAAGCATGTATTCCATAAATAGTGGCCATATCGGTTTTTTGCAACAATTTATGTATGAACAATATTCTCCAAACATATTAATCAAGGAATATTAGAATATAATGGTTACCTACCACATTTGTGACTTACCTAACTCATTAAGCTTATAAGATGTTCAACAGATCTCAAAGATTAGTTAAGGTACGCGCAAATTGATCAAAATATCTCAATTACCAGAAAAAATAATTTTAAAACAAGTGAGAAGCCTGTAAAATTTCTATATGTTCATGTGCATACAAATTACACAACACGACTTTTATTCTAGATAAGAAGCTTTTAATAATCAATTCACAAACTTTACAAACTTTGCACCAAATAATCTTGTGCTGAAATTTTTATCAGCCCTCATAAGCATAGCTTATTGGTTCTTTTAAATAAAAAAAGATCTGTCACATGCCACAATAGTCTTTGAGAGTAGAAGGCAATCCTTTAGGCTCTGCTTCAGAATTGAAACGAAGGTACTCAAAATGGTTAAACGGCTTATACCGCAAACGCCAAGTGTCATCTGCAAACTCTTCAGGTATATTTACTGTTCCACTGATGAAAGAAAATAATCCCATTGATATTCTCGTTTCTCTTGCAGTCATATTGACTTTATGCCAACAAGGTCGTATTCTGTCATTACTCCATGCCTAAGACAAAAAATAAATTTAATTAAAACTCATATGCTATTATATTTTGCATCTATATCATCTTTAATTAAGTATTGACACATTACAGTAAAACATTCATGCACCAAGGCCACTTTTGTATGCCGGACTCCGGCGTCAGAATAAACAATTTATACCGACACTAAGTTGTTGACGACAGTAAATATCCTGATGTTTGTTTAACTTTTCAAACTTTATTATATTTTACTATCCTATCTTAAACAACAAAAAATGTGTTTGTTTTAATATTGACTATTCAATTCAAAATCCAATCATATTTTAACTCAAAACATTTAACAATTATCTTTCACAATAAAAGTTTATAAATTAACAAAAATATCTCTACCCACCCAAGCCACAGTTGCCCGCAAGCAACCACTGTTGGCTGACACTGTCGGAACGATGCACGATCAGTCGGATCTGACCGATTTAGCCATTTCCGACCAGATCCACCATGGGTCTGGCCACCAGTTTATGGCTGTAGATTTAGCCGTTTTGGGCTAGATACACAGTTATTTAGCCGGAAAAGGCCAGATCGGCGACTATTGCTGGGCAATCGGTTGGATAAGTGGGGGTGTTTTTATTAATTTATAAACTTTTATTGTGGGGGGTGTTAGCTAAATTAACAAATATAGAGTGTTAAAAAATAATCTAAATGTGTTCAAAAAATGTACCCAACACATTCTCATAATCATATCCTATTAGAATAAATCTTATCATGTCCTATTCATAATATAATATTATTTTAAATAATTTATCAAACGGCCCTATACTTCTCACCCAGACTGTGCTGGGTATCCCATTTCTACCTTACGCTGATGCATTCTGGCGTGGGGTTTAGAAATGGGATATACGTTATGGCTAGAACACCCCAACGCCGTTTAACGATGCCGGCATATTTGCAAAATGTCGACGCAGTGTTGGTGTTGGGGTATAGTTTTATATATCAAATAGATTGTGAAGAAGAGAAGCTCATTACTATTCTTAATCCTGAAATAGGAGATCAATAGGCTGAGACTCACCGTGAGTACATCGCCTGCCATGACAAGAAAAGATGTGGACGAAGGCTCAATATCGATCCATTCATCATCCTTGGTTCTGATCAGCAAACCTTTAATATGACTTTGATGAATTGTGGATATCAAGGTTTTATCTGTGTGGGGGTTTAAGCCCACCGTTGTCTCGTTCGCCTTCGGAGTTCTATATTTGAAGTAACGAAGAAGATAATTAGCTGACTTAGTGTAAGATTCATAATGCTTATCATCAAGTCCATAGCTTTCGCACAGCATTCTCATCACCATTTTTTCTAACTCCGCCCCTAGTTCCGCGTAGGAATGAGCACTTTCACTAGTTCAAAACAAGAAAATATTTTATTAGAATTATATCTAGAAAATCAATTTGTAATCCTAATGAAAGAAGAATCAGACTTGGATAAAAGGAAAATTCTCAAAGAAATAAAAACAGAAAAAATAGCAAAAAAGAAGCTATCCGATGAGACTAGTGAAATTCTAAATTTCTGTATTCAATTATTATCAACCAAATTCTCTGGGAAATTTTTCCTACATTAGTACAAAGCTATCATGAATATGTGGATAAAATCTTACCAAAAGCCTTGATATCCGGCAGGCCACATGAAGGTGGTGAAACTTTGAGTTGATTCAAGACTTGTTGGATTATCAATGGCCAAGGATTCATAGAGTGGGAGGGAAGCATATTGTCCGAAGTAATCGAAGTATGTCTTGGTGCTTTTGTTCTTCATTTTTATCTCATTTGGGAGACCAAATAATTCTGCAGCTGTGGCAAAGACATTATTGTGAAGTTCCAAAGGAACTTCACGATAAATTGCTTCAAAACACCCGATCTCTTCAAATGCATGGCGTATTTCGTTGCATGTAGAGAGCCAGGTGCTTGTGCCTGGCTTCAAACTTTCGTTTGACATATCTATAACAGGGATCTTGGGCTGTGACTGCGATCCCATAATTTTGATTGTTATGAATTTTCTTGATTTATTTCAGCTGGCTTCGAGGGATATATGTTTACATTGTTGTATGAGATTTATACAACCACCGGTGCAAACTGCAGTCATATATAAAAACCCGAATTGAAAAATATATGCCGATTCCGTGATCTTATAATAAATGTTTTGTATGTTTCTGATGGCCTTTTTCTGATCCATATTCTGCCTAATAAGATTTAAGCATTAAATAATGAGATCATGAAAAGGAACTCAGTAGCCTGATTGAAATCCTTAGCTAGGACCACTATATGTTAAAAATCATTTAGTCACAATCGAAAATTTGAGAGAGCGAGCTATTTTGATTGAAACTTATTGAGACTTACCTAGTGAAGTAATTTGATTGGTATATGTACAATGTAATCTATTTCATTTTTTATGTATAAAAAAAGCATCTATTATCTTTTTTTTTTTAATATATATATTTAATAATTATCAATCACCAACTTGTTCATATGAAGGTAAGATCAGGATAGATGATCTCAATCAAATATTATTTTTGGTTCGATTAAGTAGAGAGTGGTACAAAGAGGTCTATAAATGCGGTCAACCTATCACAGGACAAACCCTTGCGTGAAATTGGTCTAATACCAGTGAGCTCACTTGCTGCGTCATGTTGTCATACACAAAAATTCAATTAGTTGGGAAGTCTCAAGTTATTTGTTTTACAAAATGCATACCAAACACGCTGAAATTGAATAATGGAATATCAATATCTCTAATGATAGGCTTATCTTATTGACCATGAGAGGTCACCTAATCAAAAAATGATGTAACAGTTTTTTGTTTCTCCTATATAATAGCTTCCATTTTTAATTGAAATGATGTAAACCCAAATTAATTTTGAGCATGGAACAACCAAAACGAGATTATGAATTGAAGCTTATATAACCTTTATTTATTTTTAATTTAAATTTCATAGAATTCCATTGCATGCTGAAAGCCAAGAACTTGTCCCACAATTTTATTTACCAGTAAATACGGATAAATTGTGAAACCCATTAGATTCCCATTCTTGTGTGTTGTGTATGATTTTTCCATTAAGCTTGGAGAACGTGAGGTTATAGTTTGATTCATAATCAACTCAGCTCAACACTTGTCCAACCTAGCATAAGCTCGTTGAGATATAGCTCAGCTTCGTATAAGCTACCAATCCTGACAGTTGTTCAATCAGATCCTAGATAAGCTCAAATCCTAGATATTTCGGAAGGGATCAAATCAACAGCAATAATGGCGCAATCTTAGCGCTCAATCGCTAGAATATCAGAGTTACAATTCAATCTTAATTGTAATCCCTTTAATTTTGCTATTTTCTTTGTAAGAAACTTATATATAAACCCTCTCCAACGATGGAGAAGGGGTTAGCAAATTATTCTAGGAACTATACTATTTTCTTCTAACAAATAAGAAAGACAGTGGACGTAGGCTCAAGATCCAAACTCGTCGAACCACTTTAAAAACCTCTTGTATTCTTTACATTACTGCATTCATATTCATTCAATTGCTGGTTATCTTTAATCACGCACACACTCATTTAGATTCCATCAAAGTCAATCGGATCACTCTAGTTAGTGTAAATTTTGCATCAACATTTTGACACTAGAATGAGGGCCTCTGCCTACTTTCAAAATTTCCAGCAAACAATCTGAGCGACCTGATCACTCAAGGCTTACAATGACTCATACTAGATCAAAAACCATCACCGGAAACCACGATAATATGGAAACCACCCACCAGGAGGTGCATTAAGATGCCGCCTGGCGTCGACCATCAATGCCGCCAATGCAGCAGGCTACGAATTAGCAAGGGATAGGGACGCCAAATCCTAAGAATGGTTAGCTGGTGGAAATGATAAGAACAATGGTTGTACAAGTGGTGCAACAGAACGTGGCTAAATTAAGAAATCAGCAACTAGTCCCCCAGGACCTCGACCAGCCATGCTTCATGGATGTTACCCCAATAGGTTGGAACTCATCTAATAACCAGTCTGGTTCGTTGGCACCAAGGAGCTACCGACACCCCTGATATCATAGGGTATATTTCACTCACGAACGTGAGTCTTGCATGCAAACTAACCTTAGGAGGCGGCTAGGCAAACAACCCATAGGGGAGAATGAAGGCGATGATCACCCAAGGGATACTCAACCTGCTCGATGATATCCCTAACACTAGCGTGCCAGTTTTAACCTATGCCAAATGCGACCTCAAACCTCGCGAGATAAGTCATGAGCACCAATCTGGCAATGACCAAAATTTTGGTTTTAACCAATGTCACATGCAGCACACTGATGAAAATGATGATACCTACCAACTCAGGCATCATGACTATACTTCGCGCATTAATGCGCATGATAGGGGAGGTTCACAAGCAACTAATCTTCATACTCACTTGCTTTAGGTAAGGTTGAAGAGAACCTGCAGCCATAGTACTCCTCTAGATGAGGACTTAGATCAGGTGCAAAAAATGTTCAACGATCTAAGAGCCTGCCAGAACAATGTGGCAGAAGAGATAGTGTGTAACGCCCCACTTGAGGTACGTAGTTGTTGTTTCCTCTTTCGCTCTTATATGAGTTGGTTTTTGGTAATATTGTTTGATTGGGGGTTGTGTTGAATACTTGCCCTGAAATTGGTGGAAAATAGAAGAAGTTTAGTGTTTCATTCTTCGCCGCGGCGAAGAGGTGTTGAAGCCACGGGGAAGCTGCTGGACAGTTTCGCCGCGGCGACAGAAGTTGTTTCGCCGCGGCGACAGGCCGATTAAATTGTTTGTTAAGTTTTAGATATTTTCTTCCCTAAGGGCAATTTGACCATTCTACCCCTAATTAGCAGGAAAAGTGGGGAGTTAATTGTAAGGATTTTTCATGGAGAATATGTTGATATGGGGGTGAGTTTGTAATGAATCAAAGGGTATAGATGGAATTCCCAAAGAAGAGTAAGGGCAAAATGGGAATGCTTTGGTATAAAGTTCATTAAAAGGAATTAAGAGTTAGCAAACCCCTCATTCTCCTTCTCAAAAACGCAACTCTCCATTCTTGTTCCTCTCAACTTCTCTTTCTTTTGATCAAGGAGTTCCAAGGGGTTTTTGAAGTGATTTGGGGTAGAAAATCAACCTAAGGCTTCCTAAGGTAAGGATTCCTACTTAAGTTGTGTGATTTGTGAGTTTTAGTTTATATTGAAGTTTGAGGGTTTTTGTTCTTTTGGTTAAGAGTAGAGAAAAAGTCAAGCAAAACAAGTGAAAGGAAGAGTTGGTGAAGTCTCTCCATAACAAGGTAAGTAAACCCCAACCCAAGTTGAGATTTAAGAATTTTCTTGATTAGGGTTTTGATAGAAATGATGTATGTATGTGATATACATGTGATATGCCATGTATGGAGGCTTAAATAGAGATTTCTATGCCTTGTGATTGTTTATACCTTGCAAATATAAGAAATGAGTTGTGGGTTGGAAAGGTAGTTTGAGATGGAATTGAAGGGGTATTGTGGATCCCTTTTTGGAAGTGTTTTTATTTGGCAGGTTTTGTGGTTATGTGAAGGGGTTTCTCCCCATTTTGGATGGTTAGAAAAAGTTTTAGAATCATTGCTATAGTAGAGTTTTATAATGCACTTGAGTTGTTTGATGAAATGCCTAATAGAGGTTTGAGTATGAGTAGTGAACCTTAATTCTTGCAACATTGCATGTTGGCATTTCATAAGTGCATTGGTGGAGATGAACCATCCATAGGCACTAATTGTGCATTGAAAAGTGACCTAAGAAAGTGTAGGAAACTTGTGTATGCAATTACCCTATGAGTAGAGAGCTTGGTGGATGCAACTACTCTAAGAGTAGAGAGAATGAAAAATGCTAGAATAGAGTGAATTAGAAGAGTAGAATAGATGGGTTGATGCTTTGTGATCATCACCCGACAGTTATGGGAATCGGGTTGATGCTTTGTGATCACCACCCGAATAGCCCTTAGAGATGGGTCGATGCTTTGTGATCGTCACCCGATAAGTATTAGACACGGATGGATGCTTTGTGACCACCACCCGGTTAGTTAATAGATAAGTAGGTTGATGCTTTGTGATCATCATCCGACATTTAGTAGAAGTGGGTTGATGCTTTGTGACCATCACCCGATAGTGACTAGAGACGGGTTAATGCTTGGTGATCGTTACCCAAAAGTCATGAGGAACGGGTAGGTGCTAGGTGATCTCCACCCGATAGTTAGGAAGAACCGAGTTGGTGCTTTGTGATCCCCACTCGGTAGTCACTAAGAATGGGATGGTACTGTGTGAATTCCACCCGATAGTCATAGAGAGTGAGATGGTGTTGTGTGAACGCCATCCGGCCGTACCTCCGGTAAGATGAGGCCATGATGTTATTAGAAACAGAAATAGAAACAGAAATAGTATAAAGAAAGAATTAAGAGTTATACATACGGGACAGACAGATAGAGGGTTTTACTTACTGAGCATTATTTTGTGCTCACCCCGTTATTTTCCTTTGTGGATGCAGGATCTAGGTGATGATGCAGTCGGAGGGGCGTCGGCAAGCGAAGAGAAATAGCTACACTGTTTCCCCTGTTTTGTCTTTAAAACGAATTTTTGTAAGCAATATTCCTTGTGTGTAAAAGACATAGGAATTATAATGAAAAGAAAATTTTGGGGCCCAATTTTCTATTGTTATTATGCATGCATTATACTAGTTTTCAAGCAGTTGTTACATAGTGAGTTCCCCGTTCACGAAGAAAGTTTTTCAGGCCCTACTCCCCTAGGGATTTAGGGCACCAAAGAGCAAGTTCGATAGGAAAGGAGATCCCAAAGACCACCTTGACTCTTTTAATGACCTGATGGAGTTGCATTAAATCTGTGACTCAGCAAAGTGTCACTGTTTCGCTGTCACTTTAGTAGGGGATGCCAAGAGGTGGTACAAGAGGCTCAAGGCAAGCCCTATAAAGTCTTGGAAACAAGTCTCCTCGCTACACCTACAACAATCACAAGTAAGGAGATAGCTCGCAATGCCGCTCAGCCATCTGAGCAATATTCATCAAGAGAGAGACAAAACTCTGACCTTGTATTTAACAAGGGTCTA